ACATCTACAGTGATCTCTACATCTGATGGACATCTACAGTGATCTCTACATCTGTTGGACATCTACAGTGATCTCTACATCTGATGGACATCTACAGTGATCTCTACATCTGATGGACATCTACAGTGATGGATCTCTACTTCTGTTGGACAACATCTACAGTGATCTCTACATCTGATGGACATCTACAGTGATCTCTACATCTGTTGGACATCTACAGTGATCTCTACATCTGATGGACATCTACAGTGATCTCTACATCTGATGGACATCTACAGTGATCTCTACATCTGATGGACATCTACAGTGATCTCTACATCTGTTGGACATCTACAGTGATCTCTACATCTGTTGGACATCTACAGTGATCTCTACATCTGATGGACATCTACAGTGATCTCTACATCTGTTGGACATCTACAGTGATCTCTACATCTGATGGACATCTACAGTGATCTCTACATCTGATGGACATCTACAGTGATGGATCCCTACTTCTGTTGGACAACATCTACAGTGATCTCTACATCTGATGGACATCTACAGTGATCTCTACATCTGTTGGACATCTACAGTGATCTCTACATCTGATGGACATCTACAGTGATCTCTACATCTGATGGACATCTACAGTGATCTCTACATCTGATGGACATCTACAGTGATCTCTACTTCTGTTGGACAACATCTACAGAACCTCATCAGGCTGTGGCATAAATCATCTTATAATCGTGATTATGATTTCTGCTTCTCATAGCATGCGATATTTCCCACTGGTTATTTATATATTACTGTAATAAATCCAAACATGAATCTCGACTGTATCGTTTGCAGTTGTGGTTGCTAAATAAATGCACTGTGCCACAACACAAGTTAACTGTTGTTGTCGCTTTAATCGGAAACATCAACATAGAAATGAGAACGTAAATATCAACGTTATAAAATGAAGCAAAATTACTCAACTTTTCTGATAGTTCCCATCATGCACTGGGGCTTGAATAATTAACGAGGTTGATTTGTCACTGTTTTCATTGCTATTCTTGTCAGGATTAGCAACTGGCCATTTTGTGACATTTGGAGTTCAATTTCTACTCAAAATTACTCAAACACAAAAACAATCCATCAAATGTTTCCATCATTGTGTATTGAGGTCTCTGCGTTCACATGACACGTAACTTCTGATATGTAGATATGGTGTCTCACACAATATTGTATTAATTAGATGTTTCTAAGTAAATCATATAGGCCTACTTTAAAAGTGTGGTTTAATTCGATGTTATATTGTGCGAGTGAAATGTATTGCAAAGGAAACTTCAGCTAAATAGATATTACTCAACCTTTTACTAGCCAAGTTAAAATTACTTATTTTCTTTGTTACCTTCACTTAACTTAGTTAAGTAGAGTTTACTTAATTCCATATGTGGAATTTACTTATGCATGCAAAAACTTGCCAAAGAAAAATTAAGTAAATTTTACTTATTGTTTTTCTCAGTGTAGAAAATCAAAGCCGTATGTGTAACTAAGATGTGTCCAAGCTTGGAGTTGATATCACAAGAATTGAGCCGCTCAAAGGTTTTAAAGTTTAAGCCTTCCAATGACCCCTAATTAACGATGATGACTGAAATATGTGATGGGGACGAGCGCCACATGACAGTCACCGGCTCATCCTCCAGGTCTGGGTGACGTGGGGTTACAGGACCAGCTCTATTTCTGGCTGAACTATTTATTTTCAGATCTGTGGTGTGTGTGGGTTGATAACAAAAGCAGGAATGTGGAGTTACAGCTCATACAGTCACACCCTATGCCGGGACCGAACCGCACGGCGGAAGAACATCAAACATCTGATAAAGCAACATCATTAACACAACACATGCGTCACAACCAGTGTAGTCTGATTCAGAAGTGCACAATGCATTTTAAAGTTCTTTTAACATTCCAATACGTTAGACAAACTACAGGTGAAGCTCGAAAAATTAGAATATCGTGCAAAAGTTCATTTATTTCAGTAATTCAACTTAAAAGGTGAAACTAATATATTATATAGACTCATTACATGCAAAGTGAGATATTCAAGCCTTTATTTGTTATAATTTTGATGATTATGGCTTACAGCTTATGAAAACCTTTTCAATTTGGGGTTTTCATAATCTGTAATCCATAATCATCACAATTATGACAAATAAAGGCTTGAAATATCTCAATTTGCATGTAATGAGTCTATATAATATATTAGTTTCAGCTGTAGGTGTTTTTACCACACAATGCTGAGCTACAGGTATTAGCTAGCTAGTCACAACTGTTTCCAAAAACCTTAGTAACTGTGTTGCACATCCGCCATCAGACCACATTAGTTCAACAACACGTGTGTGTTCAGTGAGGTCATCCAGATAGTGGAGTATTAACTTCTGCTAATGAGTCGGTTCCGGGTCGTAATAATGTAAACGTACTGATGTCGATAACAGAACTGGCAACTTCACTATTTTAGTTCTCCGTTATTTTGCTTTCTGTTTTATTTGTTGATTTAGTTGACAATCAGAAGAGTGTGTGGGCGGAGTCTCTCTGCAAGCGCACTGCATTCACAACCAAATCAATCAAAACTCACAGCCAATCAGAAGAGCGTGTGGGCGGAGTCTCTCTGCAAGCGCACTGCATTCACAACCAAATCAATCAAAACTCACAGCCAATCAGAAGAGCGTGTGGGCGGAGTCTCTCTGCAAGCGCACTGCATTCACAACCAAATCAATCAAAACTCACAGCCAATCAGAAGAGCGTGTGGGCGGAGTCTCTCTGCAAGCGCACTGCATTCACAACCAAATCAATCAAAACTCACAGCCAATCAGAAGAGCGTGTGGGCGGAGTCTCTCTGCAAGCGCACTGCATTCACAACCAAATCAATCAAAACTCACAGCCAATCAGAAGAGCGTGTGGGCGGAGTCTCTCTGCAAGCGCACTGCATTCACAACCAAATCAATCAAAACTCACAGCCAATCAGAAGAGCGTGTGGGCGGAGTCTCTCTGCAAGCGCACTGCATTCACAACCAAATCAATCCAAAATCACAGCCAATCAGAAGAGCGTGTGGGCGGAGTCTCTCTGCAAGCACACTGCATTCACAACCAAATCAATCAAAACTCACAGCCAATCAGAAGAGTGTGTGGGCGGAGTCTCTCTGCAAGCGCACTGCATTCACAACCAAATAAATCAAAACTCACAGCCAATCAGAAGAGCGTGTGGGCGGAGTCTCTCTGCAAGCACACTGCATTCACAACCAAATAAATCAAAACTCACAGCCAATCAGAAGAGTGTGTGGGCGGAGTCTCTCTGCAAGCGCACTGCATTCGCAACCAAATCAATCAAACTCACAGCCAATCAGAAGAGTGTGTGGGCGGAGTCTCTCTGAAAGCGCACTAGAAAACCAAATACATAAGTACATTTCAAAATGTATAAATATTTCACCATACAAAATTATTAAAAACGAGACTAAAACGATCTTAATATTCATTGTTCACTTCTCATATTACTATCATTGATAAGCACGAGTAAGCTTGGGGGGGAACATGATAAACCCAATGTTCATTCAGCTGATCTAAAGAACGATGAATTGTCACCGCCCGCATGACAGAGAACAGTCAACACACGGCTGAACCACACCTTTACTACTGAGGGGAAATACACAAGCTTTTGAAATATATATTCATACATAAATCCAAGGATGCAGAACAGAAATGAAAGGTCTAAAACTACAACGAAACAAAACACTAAGCAAAGGACTGCATTTACATTGGCACATATTATATGTCTCTGCTTCGTCACCTTCTTTGTTTGCTGACCAATAAAAACATTTCTCCTGACCTTCTAAACACAACTGCTGTCCTTTCAATGAACGCTTTTCAGACATCAAAATTAAACATGTTTTCGACATGCACTCTTAAAAATGAAGGTTCAAAGGTCACAGTAATGCCATAGAGATGATCAGTTATTACAAGAACCAATTGTACTTTAGTGTGTAGAACATTTTAATAATCTAATGGAATGATTGCATTGATGTTAAAGGATCTTAAAACCATCAAAACCAATGATGAACTTATGTAATACCATGGTATTCTTCGCCCACTTTCAGGTATTTATTTCAGTACTTTATGCATATCTGAAACATGCAGTTACAGTGCCATGTAATCATCATCTGACGCCATTACTGTACCATAGCATTATCATAGTGCTTCTTGTAAAAGCGATTCCCAAACAAAACACAGCCCAAAAAACAATGACTCGCCATTCCAATGAAGGAAACACAAATAAGCATCACAGTTTCGGACACAGGCTAGTGCCATATTGTGCAAAACACATAAAGCCACATGTACCATCATGGTGTTGTTTGAGGTAACGTAATCACTGATATACACTGTACACTTATATATTCTCGATAAACACGTGGAATGTATGAAAATACCATGATTTACCACCACTAATAGCACCACACTATATAAAATGCTGAGTTGGTTCATCTCGTGTTTGGGTCAAATATGGACAAACCCTTAACAGTTTAACATATAAACCAACGGTTGGGTTTAAAAGTCCATATTTGACCCAAACATGGGATGAAACAACCCAGCATTTTATATAGTGGTACTTTTCCATAAGGGAACCATCAGTGTGCGCTGCTCAAATAAACAAAGCACAATATATATATATTACAGTAAACACCAAACATGACAATAAATGTATAAATATGTAAATAAATGTATAAATATGGGTTTATTAGCAAGAGCGCGTGATTGCTCTTGTAAAACCTAGTCATTTACTGATAGCATTGATTGTTTCTTGACTGATTATGGGAGATATAATCAATATATGTTTCAGAATTATCTTTACAAGCAAAACAGGCAAATTAAACAATATAAAAAAAGAAGTAAACCGTTTTTTTATATGCATGGCCGCGACACCGTTATATGAATCAGCCGTCGCACAAAACACATCATATCGTGTCGTTGTTTCATCTTACCTGTCGACAACATTAATGCTTCACCGGCCCAGCGATTAATGCGCTAATACAGGCTTACGAGCGGTTATTACTGCGATGCGATGCGATGCGATGCGATGGACGCGCGCGTCAGTAACGCCACTGGACAACATCCATCAGGCCGAAGCTTCCGCGTCACCTCGCGTTGTGTATCCGCAAATAATTCCACACGAAAACAAAAACCATCTATAAATCATCGAAATGAAAACACATCGCGCTAGTCAAGCTAGCAGTGCGGGTTAATCGTGGACACGCCCACGCCCCTGCTTCCCGTGCCGTATGCAAATTTACCAACCGTACTATGGCGAGAGATAGGCTCATGAATATTAATGAGGTGACGCTCCAGGAAGGTTACCAGGCAACGCTTGATTAATATTCATGCGCTAATCCTTCGCCGTAGTCGGATTCATAATTGTTTGGCTATAGTGCGTCATTAAATTAATGTTCTTGTTTTAAATGATTGTCTTTATGATGCAGGTTGCGTATAACTAGCATATGGGGAACCTTAGTATACTTGATTAGTAAATCAATATTCTTGATAGTGAAATCCTGATTTGAAACAGGACAGTGCGCATGCGCGAATAGCTGAGATTGCGCCCCCACTATATGGTCCGCGTGAGCCATCTTGTTGTCGTTCCAAATGCTACACCGATGATCACTTCATATTATAGATAAGTGTGCATTTCATTATTACACTTATTACAGACATTTTTAGTAATCAGCAAACAGACGTTCTCGGAACTTTAGCTAACTTTCTGGCAAGGGTTTCTCAACAAACGTTCATAACGTTAGTAGATTGTTCGCTCAAAGTTAAGCTATTTGGTTTAATAACGTTATTTAATAATGTTCTTAAAACGTTATTTAAATATTGCTCAGGAAACGTTTAATTTTCTGAAATATTTTAGTTGGACGTTAGAACGTTTTTTGAATGTTGCTATTTGTTCAGAGAACATTCAAAAGTAACGTTCCCGTAATGGTTGCAGAATTATAAAACATAATAATTTATCCTAACATTCACATATATATATTATATATTATTATATATTTTTTTTTTACTGGACATTTTGAACGATCAGTTTCATCTGCATAGTGAGCTATTTTGTAACTTAATATTTGTTTAAACTTGATACTGGGAGATATGTAAATATGAAAGCTCGGGCATGTCTTTGTTTTAATGGACAAAATAAGAGAAAACCAAGAAATATACGAAAGGAAGCTTTCTAGAAATATAATTAAATACAGTATCCAAGTAAAGAAACACATTTATAAGCTTATATCCTCTCAGAATTACTAAACTTCACATGCTGCTATTTGGAAACCAAGTGAATGGATTGAATATGTCTCATGTGTTCGTTCTGCAGCAGCTAAAGATGGCGCTCACCTTCACATTTTGACGTGAAGCTACATTTAAAAACCATGAAAAGCTGCGCTAAACTTGTGTCCTGGAGGAAACAGCAGCAAAATGAGGCAAAAACACTTGGTTCGTATATCCTTTATTTGGAAAAAAAATTTTATTTGACATTGAAATATGTCTAACGCTGTCTATGACGTTAGACTGAGAAGCATTTCATACTCAACTACATCTTTCTTGTGGATTCAGGAGTTTGGTTCATTTGGCAAAAAACCCTCAAAGTCATTGGCACTAAAACTAAAAAACTATTTAAACTCCCCCTGTAGTCAATAACTGTATCTCTAAAACTCATCTTTGATCACCAAAATTACATATTTGTCTTAAAATATCTCGTAACTCGACACCCTCGCCTCGCGGTTCAATGAATATGCAGATGAGCCCCGCCTCCACTCACTCACTCAGCTCAGAGATCCACTGGTTGACGATCACACGTTGATCTGATTGGTTACAAGGTCGTTTGTGACGTCAGAAACACCAGCGATTTCAAACCGTGTTTTTGAGACTGTCTTTGGTTCACTGCAGTTTTAAGGAGGAAATACTCAGCAATGCTGTCGACTTATGAACTTACACATGGTGTGTCTTAAAGCGTATTAAAAACACCACATAGACACATAAACAACATTAAACGCTGGATTTACACCACAGGGGGACTTTAAAGTTAAGGTTCCCTCGTTAAAACACCAAGTGACCACCATTGAAGAGCGGTTACTTGAGACTCGACTGGTTTTATAAAGTCAAAAACATTATTAAAAAAAATGACTTATAGTCATGTTTACAAAAACATGAAAAAATGAGAAAGGTACTTAATATATCTGAAACATTTAATGTACTAGTAAACCATATATATATTTATATTAGGGCTGGGCAGCGATTAATCGCATCCAAAATAAAAACTACATAATATATGTGTGTGTGCTGTGTATAATTCTTTTGTATTTATGAACACACACATGCATGTATATAATTAAGAAATATTTGCATGTATATACTATATATAAACAACACATGTTTCTTAAATATATACATGCATGTGTGTATATTTATAAATACAAAATAATTATACACAGAACACACACATATATTATGTAAACAAACTTTTATTTTGGATGCGATTAATCGCTAATATATATATATATCCACTTCTTAATTTACAGGCTGGTCTCTTTTACAATACTGGTGTCCTGGACAGTCTATGCACTGAGAGCACTTGCCAACTCTGAAAACATAAATAAACAACAATAAATTAAAGTCTTTGAACTCTGGATTAGCATCGCTATGAATGCAAAAGTACCTAGAGTTGTTTAAAACAAACAGGACAAGAGTTCTAGCCGGTTCACAATAACGGCAAGCTGCCCGGCGGCGCCAGGATAATCCCGAACACGTAGAAGAGTCCCATGAGCAGGTTGAGCTTGGCGGTTTTCTGCGGGATCTTGGCGTAGCAGCGGCAGCGGAACTGCCTCTCCAGCGGGAAGGCCATGGGCAGCGTCAGCAGCGGGAGAGCCATGCTAATGCTGTAGCGCGTGGCTAGGATGCAGAACAGCAGGTAGGGCACGAACAGAAGCAGGTTGTAGATGATGTAGGAGAGCGTTGGTCCCACTAGGATGGCTAGCGTGACGATTCCCGCCTGCTTGTCCGAGTCCATGTCTCGGGTGTTGTTGCTGTGCAGGATGGCTTCGGTGTTGAGCGCTAGCGGCACGGCGTACACTAGCGGTAGCACTGACAGGTATCCCACCTGCACCGCGTGCGCGAACATCACCGCCAGAGGCCCGAAGGTGATGAGGATCACCACGTCTCCCAGAGCCACGTACTTCAGGCCGATGCCTAGAGGACACACACACACACACTAGGCTTGTGAACACACACCTGAAAAATGACTGCGTTATTGCATTTAAAGGGGTGGTTGATTATGATTTCACTTTTCTAACTGTAGTGAGTGTGTAATGTTGCTGTTTGAGCATAAACAACATCTGCAAAGTTACAACGCTCAGAGTTCAGAGGAAAGGGAGAGATTTATATAGCTAATTTAGCAATTCATGGACATTTATTAAGACCCAGTCATAACCCATCATATTCAACTCCAGTCATTTGTGGTCTATATAGCTATATATTTTCCCCTTGATGACCATTATTTAAGACCTCCATATTCACCTCCAGTGTATAAGAAAGAGCTGGAGAGTCCCCCGAAGTAGACGAGCGCCAGATGCTCGAGTCTGAGCGAGGACAGGCAGAAGAGCAGTGTTGCACACAGACACCCGGCGGAGTACAGCACCGCCCCGAACAGCACCACGTCCTGCGGCTTCAGGATCTGGTCCACCAGAGTCCGGTCGTCGCTCTTCTTATGATCGATGCCCTTGGAGAAGTCGTAGTAGGTGTTGACCAGGTTCCCGGCGCCGTGGACCAGCAGAACGGTCACGGCACACACCAGCAGAACCAGCAGGTCCACGGACCCCTCCAGCTTGTAGGCCAGCGCGCTGCCGAGGGCCACGGGTGTTAGCGAGGCGCTGAAGCTCCAGGGACGCAGCGCTAACACGTACGCCGCGCACTTGCCCTGCACACCCCTCACGCCCCGGGCCCGACCCGCTCCAGGACACCCCGACCCGTTCAGGCCGTTAGACCCCGAGAGAACACAGGTCTCGTGGCTCGCCTGCTTCATGGCGGATCAATCTAGCAGCGCTTCAGAGAGAGGAGACGAGCTGTCGAGACACACACACACACACACACACACTCTATCATTACAACATCACACCAGCAGACATTCATTAACTTATATTATTACACAGCTCTTGACATGAATTTACACATGGTTTGTCTTAAAGAATATTAAAAGCATTTAAACAACATTATTACACGACTCTGTGGAATTGTGTTTTATGGAAAAAAAATCATTAATATGATTTATGATATTAATGACTGTGGAAATGACATGTGAAAAACATATGCCCTTCAAAAACACAAGGACACTAACAAAAACCTGCCAAAATCCCATGTTTGTTATGATGATAAACTAAATAATACAGTAAATCTTCATCATTTTTATCAGTATTGGTTATACTGTCTCTTTCTGGACAGTAATACTACATTTGGGTAGAAAAAATGTGTAAATATGTTCCATATACACATGATTTCATGTATTATTAGTAGTAGTAGTAGTTATGAAAGGGCTCCCTCGCAAAGGGAAAATCATATTTAGGGGTCCGTTGAATCAAACCCCCTGTAGTAAAGTACGATACTGTAAGAGAGCATTAATTAAAGAGCCATAATCAGCTCACCTGTTGATCTGCTCATTAACATCAGATCACGTGTCCATACAAACACACTCATCCGTGTGTCAAATACAAAACGCGTTTCTTTCTCGTGTGTTTCATCAATGATTATGATGATTATGATAGTGGTCCGGCTGCTAAAGGCTAATGCTAGTTAGAGAGATTATCAGAGATTATCAGAGATTATCAAAGGGTTTCGTCAGGATAGTAACGTTACCTGCTCCACACACACACACACACTCTCTTCAGCAGAGCCGCTCACGCATCGTGCCATGGGTTCAGGGTTCAGGGGTCAATCCCCGCAGGGTCCGAGCAGAAACGTGACACTCCAGTGATGATTTAATCGACATTAGCAACATTAACCGACTCACACATCGCCGTTTCCGTCCAACACCTCAGAGTGCAGCGCGTGCAATACAGTCCGGCCGGAAACAGGGCAAAGCATCATCGTTCCGCCCGACTCATCGTTCCGCCTCAGACAGAGGTTTTCGGTTTTCAAAGTGGGTTCAAAGCATAAACTGTGTGAAATGTAAAAAATAATTAATAAATATATTACAATTAAATAACAATAGGATATAAATAAATGATAATATGTAGATTAATATAGATTAGATAAGGAATAAAAAGTAAAAGTTAATAAAAATAAATATTAAAACTGTGTAAACTATAAAAAAATATATATATATATATATATTGACAAATGAAGACCTCAGATGCAAAAGCCTCTAAGTCCGTCTAACGTTTTCCTTTAATATTAACATTTATCACGATTATGTTGTTTCAAACTGATCACAATTTTCACGTGATTCTTAATAGACACGTAAACAAAATAACACGTTCTGAAAAAATGTGGCAGCAGTCTATTTAAAATGTTTTTAAAAAATCAGTTTGAGTGAATGATTTAACGACTCACTCATAAAGACTTCACTTGTTTCATTACTGGATGAATCAGTGTTTCTGAATGAATCTCTCGAGTGAATGATTCAATGACAAACACATATTTTAAGTCTCTTGTCTCCCCCTACTGGAGTAACGGTGTAATATAATCTTTATGTGAAGCATCAAGTTACTTTCAAAAGCTGATTTGCTCTATTTTGATCTCTACTGTAGACATCAGTGTTTATATCTGAACTATGATCTTTTCTCCAGCACTTCTGTGATAATCTGAGTGGTTGTAAGACAGAAATAATGATCATGTGATGTTGAAAAGCCTCTTAGTGAAGCTGTTCTACAGGATCATCCTGCAACATGATGTGGAACTGAAGCAGACTCAAACAAGATAAGTCCGAGCCAATGCAAGCCGGATGTTCAGTGAGGCTCGTTCTCTTCGGGAACAGATAAGCGTGTTTATAAGGGCTTGTGGGTCTATGGTGGGCAGACCGGGGCCAGAAGAGTCCAGATAGCAAAATTTGTCTGGCCCACCTCTGGGCCTCATCCTTGCTTCAATTCTGGCCCAGTTCTGGCTGAGAGTCGGCTGGGTCCTCGGCCCAAAACTGGTCCAACACACTGACAACGGACTCAAACAACTTCCTCTGGCCCAGATGTGGCCCACACCCTGTAAAATGACTCTTATTTATTGATATGGCCCAGGTCTGGCCCAGGCACTGTAAAATGACTCTTATTTATTGATATGGCCCAGGTCTGGCCCAGGCACTGTAATACAGATCTGGCTGAGAGTCGGCTGGGTCCCCGGCCCAGAAACTGGCAGAAAGTGAAACACAAAATCAACCATTTAAAAAGGGTTTTTATTATAAAATTAACAAATACACTTTAATATAAATGTGTATTAACAATGAACAAAATACACTTTATTAACATTTAACAACTAAATAATTTTAAACAAAATAATAAGTAAATTGATAGTAAAATGATTAAAAGAAAAACATCATTCTCTTTCACACACAAACTCTCTTTCACTCTTTAACACTAAATAAATTCCTTTTGCAAATGTCAAGTCACCATTAAATATAGCCCTATAAACAGTAATGATGTTTCAAAGCCGCTTTACAGGGTTAAACAGGAAAATGATCAATGATGATGCAAACAGAGTTAAATTTGGCTGTAAAGCTGCTCTAAAAAGAAAATAGGCTGCTTCACAAGTCAGATTGTGGATTGATATCATTCAGAGTATTTTATTCAGCTCCTTTTGCTTGAAGATTGGAAAAGATTACACCAAGGTAAAAGAGTAGCAAAACTCGAGAGCATGTAGATGTGAATTTGAGAATTTGGACAATGTACTTGTACAATAATATTAACACTCACAGCTCCAATGTGAAAACCTTAGGCATTTGCAACTTCTCAAATCTGCCATTGCAATTTTTTTAATTGCCCCGCCTTTCTCTCACCGCCACTCAGTTTGCAAATGCACAAGTTAGTTACACATCTAATATATTGGGAAAATAGTTGCAAAGTCAATGCGTGACGATTTGAAATAGCAATGGCAGATTTGAAAAGTTGCAAATGCCAAATTGAAGTTGTACTGCGAATGTGAATGAACGAATACAAGTCTGTGTCTGTCATTGTATTTCTGTGAATGGCATTTTACACATTTGTGACTGCTTGTCTGCAGCTTCAAATTCAGAATACAGGTTTGTGACTATTGTCTGCGAGTAAAAATCTCAACTTTCAACAGGTTTTCAAGTACAAATATTTATTTATTGTACAAGTTCTTAAAATCCGGATGTGGGCCGGATCTGGGCCGACACTAGTGCTTATGTTTTTATTAAAGACCAGATAACTGTGAACGAACGCTCTATTAACGTTACTGGAAGAATGATTGTTCATAACTTTGAGAGAACATTCCCTGTTGGCCTGGTTCATACCGAATTAATAATCTGTTTGTATATTGTATGTAAAGGGATAGTTCACCCAAAAATGTAAACTCTGTCAGTAATGACTCTCCCTCATGTTGTTCAACCCCGTAAGACTTTCGTTCATCTTCGGGACACAAATGAAGATATTTGTGATTAAATCTGAGAGCTAGATCACTTATTGAAACTTGCCGTCCCAGAAAGTTATTAAAGACATCGTTAAAATAGTCCGAGTGACTACAGTGGCTCAATCTTAAGTTTATCAAGCAACGAGAATACTTTCTGTGCGCAAAAAACAAAAAAAAATAACAACTTTATTCAACTCTTCATGTTCTTCTCTGTGGGCCTCGAGTGAGTTCACGTAGTGTAACAGCGCAGCGCTTCTGGACGTCACACACAGGCTCACTATTGGCCGACGCTGGTCATGTGTGTGATGTGTGTGATGCTGGCCAATAGTGAGCCTCCGTTCACATCACACGCATCACACACATGACCGTCGGCCAATAGTGAGCCTACGTTCACATCACACACATGACCAGTGTCGGCCAATAGTGAGCCTGTGTGTGACGTACAGAAGCGCTGCATTTGGGTGAACTAATAACCCTTTAACCTTCATCCTTCCCTCGCACTTTGTGACACATCTTTCCCTCGCGGGTCAAAATGCCACAAAGCCCTATAATTATAATGTTAATTTTTTAACACACTTTTTTTTGGAGATTTTGTGTTATTTTTTTATTTACCTTTAAATTATTAGATTTGATCAATAAATAAGAAATAAATAGTAATTAAAGCACATTCTTTCAACTTAGATTCAAAATAACTCACAATTTCATGCAATAACCCTTTTACAGTAAATTTTTAGAACATAACAATTCTTAAGGTAAATGAAAATTAGCAGTTTGCTTCAATAGTCTGTAGTAATTTACGGAATTACAGTAATGAGAGAAAAAAGGTAAACTAAAAGTACACACTGTAATTCGAACGAATAACTGAGGGGCTAATCCTGCCTCTCTCCAGCATCAGGCCACAGGTGTTCAGCCGTTCAGCTGAGAGTGCAGTCAGCAGTGTGTGTGTGTGTGTGTGTGTGGGGGTGTGGGGGGGGGGGGGGGGGGGGGACAATACATTTTTTAGTAACAGGGAAGGGACCAGAGGGAAGGATGATTAAACAATCAATGTAATTGTTAGAAGCCAAACCAAAAACACAAGATTGCAGATTGTTTTGGCTCAGATAGCAGAACTGTTCGGGGTTGGTTTGATATGAAATGAATAGCTATTATAGACTACTTGTATTTTTAGTGCAAGAATGATGCAAAATCAATAGCAGATGTCTCTTTAAAGATGATTAATCCTCCAAAAATGAAAATGAAACAGCAAGTGTGGTAAAAGCAGCATTGATTGCATTACAATGTGTGCAGCTGTGAAGCAGTCAGTGTGTGTGTGTGTGTGTGTGTGTGTGTGTGTGTGTGTGTCTCCATCTGAGCTCAGTCTCTGCTGAACACTGAGGAGAAGAAGCTGTCTGTCGGGAACCCATGGCAAGACACATAACCCATGGGAGTAATAATAAATGGTGAGGTTTGATACGTCTTTGTTAAGGGCAAATATTTGGACGTTGACGTCGCGAAGATGGTGCGTGAAGTTCATGGAAACCTCGAAGGGCTTGTTCTGCTGGCGCTGGCCGGGCTCGGGCTCTTCATGCATGAAGTCACGGCTTTGCCTGCCTGGAGATTTGAGGTATGTCATTAGTTTTTTATCAGGACGAATAATATTTCAGCGTAACTTCTTTTTCCCTTGCATAACTCTAGACGCGCGTCAAAGCGGCGTCACGCGCGTGATGTGATATCCATTGACACGTTTGAGTTATACAACTAGAAGTCGTTCACACACAGACTGGATGGCGGAATGGGACAGAACGCAACGCAGGGGATCTGAGACGCGGTGAACTACTGTTAACTTGACGCGTCGTCTTTAAAACGCAACGCTCATGACATGAGACGCGACGCAATGACCAGCGACGTGTCAGGCGCATACAAACAGATGAGAGGATTATTATCACTGACCGAACTTTTGCTTTAATGACATTTCATTTGTCCTCCATTACAGTGTCCTTGTTACATACATATACTTACCATAGTAATAACTGTAAATTATGCATAATTACATGCAACTAACCCTAAACCAGATCCTAATCCTACCCTAACCCTATAGTCAGTACATGTAGTTAATTAATATTACTCAGTACTGAATAAATAGCCTATAGTATATTTACACTGTAACAATGACACCTTAAAATAAAGTGTAACCAACACTTTTAGAATATAAAAAATCTAGTGTTGTTCTCTATTTTCTTTCAAGATATAGGCTACAATAATCAGCATGAAAGGGAAGTTTTACTAGTCTTTTCTCCTGTATTGTGTCGCGCTTACCGAACAAGAACAAATGTGGGCGGGGCTTGATTTTGTCTGTGGGGAGTTGATTGGATGGTTTTGGTTTGCTATTGGCTGATCTCATGTGAGTGACAGGTTGCCCCGCCCACATCATCAGAGAAGAGATGCTGGAAAGAAGGGGAAGTTATTCTTCACAATGGCAGGTCGCTTGGAGGCACATGTAGGAAATATGGCCACTCTGAACACATGAATGCCATGAGAGTAATTAGACTAAACATTTTTCAAAATGTTTAGACCTTGTAATGCTTAATCAAAATGTCACTGGATCTTCCAGCGAAGCGGTGACGTATACAGGATTCTCCAATCATTCAGTGCTCGTAAGCCCCGCCCCTCAAGCGCACGTTCATTTGCATAATAGTTTGAGTGCCACACCCTTCATCTCAACATTCAATCAACAACTGATGCACAGAACCAAGCCCCGCCCTGCATTTGCATGTATATTACAAGGTTTCCATGTCACCCCGACTTTAAAGTGTAATTTTAGGCATTTGGTATGTTATTAAATATTAAAAGACAGGGCAGAAAGCTGATTTCAGTAGATCTAAATAGCTCAGACATGATGCAAGAGCAATCCCTTATAGATGTCACTGACCTCATGCACTTGGCACTTCTTAAACGTTTGTGCAATATTGATTGTAGAAGGAAGGTATGCTTGCAGTCACATAATCTATCTTTCTTCCATCCTGAAATAATATTTGGATTGGCAAGGGTATTATGAATTAGCTTCTGTCAGGACGGTTTACTCACCTGTGTGCTATTGACCCCTCGGCTGTCTCTGGGATTTTAACCCTTGCATTTCTTGCTGTCCAAGGATTTACATCCTGACTGGTTTATGGGAGTTTAAACTGCGACTTGTGTGTTTGTGTGACTGTTTGCTTTTGGATTATTACTACACTGCCTTAATAAATCTGTATCCCATGCACATATCAGACCTTTCAATTTCACAGTGTGATGATCTGCGGCTGGAGTGCCCGCTTGAGCCTCTGGGGGGCACTCCTTCCTAGTTTATTATTTCCATTATGTTTTACACTGAACTGATTATGGTTGATTTTATGCAGCTGTGGTTTATTATCTTGTTTAGCGCACCTGTCTTAAGCCTGAGTTATCCCTGTGTCCATTGCGAAGTCTTGTTTTGCCCTGCAGACATTTCCAAGTATCCCTGGTTTTCTCTCTGTGTGCTTTTCTATTTAATAAAGTTACTGCGAATGGATCCGCACGACTCTGCCTCTTCGTTACAGAAGACTTCGCCACAACAGGATCCAGCAGCCTTGTGTGCCTCCCAGTCAGCCAATGCAGATCTGAGCGCTGTACAGCAGGTTCAACTGAATCAACTCACCTCGTCGTTGGAGAGGTTGGCTAAGATGGTTCGCGGTCTTCATTTCTCCACACCGGGACCATCGCGCACTTAACCCGTCTCCACTGTAGTCAGCCCTGAACCGATCCGGGTTCCACGTCAAGCTCGCCCAGTGAAGTACGACACGGATACTGGAGCTGAGATCATGTGTTTACGTCAAGAGGGTCGTTCGATTGAGTGGTATGTCGAGGAGTTTGTTGAACTCGCACGTTTCACGAGAATGACCACCGTATGTTTAAAGATCTTTTTCCGCGGAGGGTTGTCCGAACCGCTTCGTTCAAGGATGCCCTACCCTGAACCTGACTGCACTTTGACCCAATATATTGACCTGGCCCTTTCCATGAGCGGTTCGCCTTTTACTGTGGATTTTTTGGAACTTTTGCTTCACAAGGGACCCGACGATTCGCCACTTTACAAGGTACCCACTGAATCCACGCATCAATTGTCTCCCGGTGAACCAGCGCATCACACGTGCTCCGCCGAGTTTGCGCTACATGAAAGCCCAGTTGAACCAGCGCTTCGTAAAGGGTCCGCCGTATCCACGCAACATGTGAATCCCGACGTTCTAACACTTCACGTAAGCTCCGTTATATTCCTGCCTCAAGAGTTTTCTACTGAGTCTGAGCGCGTGCCAGCCGAGTCAAGTGAGTCAAGTGCCGCCGAGTCAAGTGAGTCAAGTGAGTCAAGTCCCGAGTCAAGTGAACCGAATCCCGAGTCAAGTGAACCGAATCCCGAGTCAAGTGAACCGAGTCCCGAGTCGAGCGTGCCAAGCGCCGAGTCAAGTGCATCTTCCAGTGAGTCAAGTGCATCTTCCAGTGAGTCAAGTGCATCTTCCAGTGAGTCAAGTGCATCTTCCAGTGAGTCAAGTGCATCTTCCAGTGAGTCAAGTGCATCTTCCAGTGAGTCAAGTGCATCTTCCAGTGAGTCAAGTGCATCTTCCAGTGAGTCAAGTGCATCTTCCAGTGAGTCAAGTGCATCTTCCAGTGAGTCAAGTGCATCTTCCAGTGAGTCAAGTGCATCTTCCAGTGAGTCAAGTGCATCTTCCAGTGAGTCAAGTGCATCTTCCAGTGAGTCAAGTGCATCTTCCAGTGAGTCAAGTGCATCTTCCAGTGAGTCAAGTGCATCTTCCAGTGAGTCAAGTGCATCTTCCAGTGAGTCAAGTGCATCTTCCAGTGAGTCAGGTGCATCTTCCAGTGAGTCAGGTGCATCTTCCAGTGAGTCAGGTGCATCTTCCAGTGAGTCAGGTGCATCGTCCAGTGAGTCAGGTGCATCGTCCAGTGAGTCAGGTGCATCGTCCAGTGCATCGAGTGCCGAATCAAGTGCATCGAGTGAATCAAGCCCTGTGACGCTCCGCTGCAGGAGGAGGAGGAGGACTCGTTCGGCTCGCCAGGCTCCGGTGAACGTACCCAGACTCCTCGCCCTGCCGGCCCCGCCTCTGCGCCTCGCCCTGCCGGCCCCGCCTCTGCGCCTCGCCCTGCCGGCCCTGTCTCTCAAGCTCCATGAGACTGTCCCAGTGCTTCACGTCAGCCACGACAAGCCAGAGTTTCACGACAGCCCTGACGATCTTGTTCTTCACGAACATACAGTCCCAGAGCCCTTGTCAGTCCCAGAGCCCTTGTCAGTCCCAGAGCCCTTGTCAGTCCCTGAGCCCTTGTCAGTCCCAGAACCGGTTCTTGTTCCAGCCCATGTCCCCGTAGGTTCCTCCAAGTATTTTTTGGTGGGGGGCAGTAGGCTCCACGAGGGGACCATGAATGTCGTGCGGCTATGGTCTCCCGAGGGGTCTTCTCTGCCATGGCGGCCCGAGAGGTCTTCACACCCAGGGAAGCCTGAGGGGGCTCCGCCCTGGCCTTCGTCTCGTCCTGCTCCGCCCTGGCCTTCGTCTCATCCTGCTCCGCCCTGGTCACCGGCCGAGTCTGGTCCGCCCAAGCTCTGCGGCCCAGGCCCGCCTGGGCTACTTCCTGGTCCCGTTCCCCTGCACGGGCCTGGCCCTCCATCCCAGCCCCCGTTGACCTCCCCCCCCCCCGGAGCTCTTAGGAGCATCTGGAAGCCGCTCCTTTGAGGGGGGGCTATGTGATGATCTGCGGCTGGAGTGCCCGCTTGAGCCTCTGGGGGGCACTCCTTCCTAGTTTATTATTTCCATTATGTTTTACACTGAACTGATTATGGTTGATTTTATGCACCTGTGGTTTATTATCTTGTTTAGCGCACCTGTCTTAAGCCTGAGTTATCCCTGTGTCCATTGCGAAGTCTTGTTTTGCCCTGCAGACATTTCCAAGTATCCCTGGTTTTCTCTCTGTGTGCTTTTCTATTTAATAAAGTTACTGCGAATGGATCCGCACGACTCTGCCTCTTCGTTACACACAGAAGACGTTTCTGGATCTAGCTCTCATAGTTTCTGGATATTGAGAAGGCGTATGATTCTTGGTGGAAGGAGGGATTGATGATTACAATTTTTGACTTGGGAGTTAGAAGACAAAGAACAATGCAAGTAAAGGTTGGTAGTGTTAGTTCAAAGACTGTGGACATGAATGGAACCCCACAGGGAAGTGTAATTAGTCCAGTTTTATTTAATATAATGATTAACCCTCTGGAGTTCTTCGTTTTCCAGTCACACTCAAGACCTTCGCGGTCAAAAGTGACCGGACCCGTGAAATCAATTTTTTTTTTAATTAATGCTGTATTTCAGGTTAAAGTGGATCCTTGGCCTATAGATAACATTTTTTTTAAATCACATTGGAGCCATCTGGTGGATGTAGTGAGCATAATTATCATGCAATATCATATTTTAACCACTAGATGGATTTACAGCCTCTGTAAAAAGGCTTGTGAATTCTAGTTGTTTTTGCACATATTTGCCTATTTTTTTCAGGTTGTGGATTTTAATTTATAATAAGTGATTCTCAAAGACTATTTTTGTCAAGTTTTTTGTTTGT